GATGAAATGGCATTTGCACGTGTGGGGGTTTCTCGGTAGAAATCGCGGGTTTCTCCACACCGTTGTTTGGAAATCAGAAGGTCCTGCTTCATTCATGTGGCACGAGTCCATGAGGACAGACATAATGAAACAAATCGCTGTGCTGAAAATGAATCCAACAGAGCTACATGATGTAAATAGAAAAAGACATGCAACGTCTTCATTGCCCGTCTTTTATGTCCCCTTTAAAACTGAAAATAAATGCAGGCTCCTAAAAAGAATCAAGGTGCCAAAGCTGCTTACACAGCAGCAGAGGATTTGTACGTTTTGTTCCCCATTCCCCCAACCCCACTCATTCTCCATCTCTACATTTCCTACAAGTTCCCAGCAGCCTATAGTGACCTTACTGTATATTAATACCATCAGGGATGTGATCAAAATGCCTGAAAAGGAAAAGCCAGATAATGGGATTTTTAATGACTAAGAAAGAATCATAAAAAACTGAATCCTGAGATAATAAAATATATACAGTACGTATAATCACATCTCTGACAGTATTAAATCAGTGTAGGCAGCCAGATCAATCTCATCATCACACTCCCTCTTCACGACCGCCACATCGCACTCCGATGGTACTATGCCCTCATCAACTACTGTGTCTGTCCACTGAACTCAGTCCAGGTGCTTCTAGAGCATATTAGTCCGTCTCCATGGCACCGCTGTGCGTCTCCTTGGACACCATGAGTCTCATTAGTTTCCCGTGGAGCTTTTCGATCTTCTTCACGTCCTGGGCCTGGTCCGTCTTGTATTGTAAACACTGCAGGGATGGACAAAAAAAAAAAACAACAACATAGTATTAATTTCTCTGTTTCCCCCCTTTTTAAGCAGCCACTTTTGAATGTGAACCTGTTTTCAGTATACATTACAATTAGGGAATGGGGACAAATGTACAGTATATACAAGTAAGGTTTAACAGTAAATTGTATCATAAATGGAGCAATGCAATTACTAATGTTATTAGCTAGACGTGTGCTTTTGCTGCTAGGTCACATTAAAATGTCTGCTGTTAAAAAAAAA